CACGATATAATTAGAAATAAATTTGTACCCGAAAGTCCCGGGCCTTAACCCCTCACCCCAAAAAAATTATACTAGCAATTTTGTCGCCTTCAAAAAGAATTACCCATGTCCTTTGATTAAAGTCAAACTGCCGATAAATTTAATAATTATTTTATTTTACATAATGGTGAATTTCATTGTTTTATTGAATTATTGCATAATTTTGTCAAGCATGTGCCTAAACGGTTTCGTGATTGATTCATCAAGGGGTTAACATTATTGACATAAAATATTCGGATATTAGGTAATTTACCGGATTCTTGGCCGGTATCGCATCCGGATTTAAATATTCTGTTCCAACAATTGCACGTTCTGCATATCAAATGGTGCAATAACTTGAACTTCTTTCGCACTTGAATCCTTTTAATGAAATGTTAACAATTTATTAGATAATCAAAAGAAAATGAGAATGCATGTATTATACCGAATAAATAGAGACATTGGATACATCCGTACATTGAAATTTTGGGAAAAATTGTAAAACACGTAACAATGTACGCGTATAATATTCATCGATAAGTCGAGTCGTTATTAAGGGTTCTGTAATTTTTTCGTGTAACCTACCTATTGCAAAGTATATATGATAATGAATGTATTGAAAAAGAGGTCAAACGGAATGGATTTCCAGTAATCTCATGTCTTCATAAGTGTTGATATTACAGATTTGCATATTCTAATGAGGATATGTAAATTGCATAACGCATTCTTCATAAATACTTATAGTCTTCCTTCTGTCACTTCGTCAACACGTAGCAAGCCAAAATGGATTACTCGTCGTTACTTATAGCCTCCATCCAGGTTCTTTTTTTGTATAATTTATTGTTTTTTCTTTGAAAAGATGTCGCAAAACTAACCTACGGTAAATTCATGTAGTCAAGCACCGAAGTGCTTCTTGTGTGCTTAGCTGGATACATCGCTGCAAAATATGGAATAATAACCGAAAGCGCGCAAAAGGTTAGATTCTTTAATTTGGTTACCTCTCGCTCTTAAATAAATATATTAATGAGATTGTTTAATAAAGGGGATATCAACATTGGTAATAAAAATCCTGATGCCATGCCTTCTGTTCTCGGAGGTAGGATCAGACATAGATGTAGCCAAATTGATAGCACTCTGGCCCGTACCAACTTTTTACATAACATTTACGATCATGAGCGCTATACTTGGATTCTTCGGTGGAAAAGTCTTAAAACTGTCATCAGCAAAGACAAGATTTATTACGGCTGGGATCATGTTCAACAATGTGACATCTCTTCCATTAGGTCTTTTGAGAGGCATAAAAAATACTAGCGCGATGAATCTACTTGTTATGGGTGAAATGGATACACCAGAAGATTCTTTAAAACGTGGAAAATCTTATATACTGTTAGCAGTTCTATTCGGGACTTTATTAAGGTTAGTATTTTTTTTTTTTTTTTTTTTTTTTTTTTTTTTACTATGCAAATTAAATAGCGACGGTCTAACAGATCATTTTAATGCAATATTTAGATGGAGTTTTGGTGCCATTTTACTCAAAAAAGAAAAAGATGAAGATCCATTGGCCATTCTACCAACAGAAACATCTCATGTACATCCTGTTCATCAAGCTTTGTATGCCACAGAGATCACCTCGGAACCCGACGAAAGTACTCAATTGTTGATAACGCCAAAGAAAAAGAGAACAACATGGACGAAAATAAACAATTTGTCAATTAAGTGCATTGTGATAATTAAAAGTATAATGAATCCTCCATTATGTGCAGCTGGAATTGCACTAATAGTTGGCATCATACCACCACTCAAGGGTATATTTTTTGGAGAAAATGCCACCCTTTCCGTTTTATCAGAGGCCATAGATTATATTGGAACCATAACGATTCCAATGACTTTGATCTTGCTCGGATCCCAGCTAAACAATATGCGATATTCTAAGGGAAAAGACTTATTATCGGCAATAAGTTACGTAGTGACGTGCCGTTTTCTCATAATGCCCATTTTTGGTGTAATATTGGTATTAATCACCAGATTTTGGTACATGCATGATCCGATGCTCTGGTTTGTTTTAATGTTGTTTGCCAGTGGACCAACGGCGATAGGATGTCTAAATTTGGCGCAGTTAAATGGATCATTTGAAGAAGAGATGGCTGCCTTGCTATTTTATTCTTATTTAGCTGTACCTCCCCTTCTCACTCTTATAGTAATGATGATGTTGACAGTAATTGGGACAACTTCGTAGTATTAGTAAATTGAACCTTAAAATAATTTCAAAGTCGAATATTGTAAATTTAATACGTAATATTTAGATGCAATGATTTATTTATTAATTAATTTTACTTAGAAGCATAAATTTTCTTTGTATCAAAAAATGAAAAAATGAAAAAAAAATAATAAAATAATAAAAAAGAAAAAACATTTAATATTTACGACATAATATGCAAAATATCAAAGTAATTTTCTATTAGGGCATAATTATACACGATCTTCGAAGGAACTTCGGCCAAGAATCGCGCTCGGGAGTATTATCCCACGAACTTAAGTTTTCTCAAATTCGAAAATGGATGATTCAAACATAGTGTGAAAGGGCTAATATAAAATGATTACACGAACCTGCTATTATATACTCAAAAGCAGAGATTCTTTACCAAATCATGGGAGGTGTTCCCCGTACATCACTTATTTGGCACCCTTACGGCACTCGTGCGTCGCCTGTGTAGCATTATATCCGTGTGAAATTTACTAATTTATATTAAATAAATTCTCAGGTCTTTATTTTCGGCATATACTGTATACAATAAACCGGAAATCGAAAATAAAGATTTGGCTTACAAAAGAAATGATGCACGGAGAACACCCCCCACGTCATTTATTTCTAGTAAAAATCCCTTTAAAATTCCTAAAATTAAATTTGCATAGCTTTCAATTGATCGAAAATAATTCTTACATGAAAATTTTTGTTTTTCCGTAACCATGCCACATGGTTTAATTTTTATTGAGAAGTTATTTATAATATTATATATTTTTCATATAATAATTAACTTGTCATTGCATTAAAGTACTCTAAGTCAGGTCTTGAAAAAATATCTCTCTCCCCTAAGAGGATTGATATAAGCAAATCTTTATTTACTAGGTTTATGGTCAACAGTTTGTTATTATTAATTGTTCAAAAATCATAAATTGTTAAGTTAACAAAAGAGAATATTCACTTAAAAAAGATTTATTAGATTGAGATATTCTTCTTATTTTTTTTTGAATTATAAAGAAAAATTTTTTTTATTATCTATAGTATCAGACAAGTCAATTTAACTAAGTCTATTATTTAAGTAAATATCAAATTCCATTAGTTTAAAAAAATATATAAAAATCTTAACTTCCAATCAAAAAGGTTTTTTTAGTATTTGAAAACTTAAGAATGAGATTTTGCAATTTAAATTATCTTTCTTAAAAACTTAAAATTTTTGAAAAAAATAAATTTTAAACGTTTCTTTTTAATTATTATTAATATTATTAAAATATATAAATATAATCAAATAAGAGTTTATTTATATTTTATAAACTAATATATTTTATATTAATTAGTTATCTTTAATAAAAATTTATAATAATTAAAATTCAGAATCAAACTGAGATAGATAGAATTTTTTAAAAAACCATAAAAGTAAAAGCTTTAAAAAAGCTAAATCAATTAAAAAAAAAAAAAAAATCTTTTTATTACAAAAAATCTCTATAATATTTTACTTCAAAGATTAAAAAAATCTTTTATTATTTTATAATTGGTTTTTTTTTTAACTTTCTTATTATTAATATTAAAGATATTATTTGATTTATTTGATTATTAAAAGTCAAGTTTTTAAGTAAATAAATTTATAAATAAAAAAAAAAATAAATAAAAATTACTTTTTTAAGTTATATTTAAGTTATTTTAAGAAAGATATTAAATTAAGACTTTATTAGTAAAAAAATAAAAAAAATTTTTATAAGAATTTTTTTATATATAACCTATGGGTCGATAATGCAGTGGTTAGCACTCCATAGGTCAGATCACAAGATTCAGTTTCAATTCCATCCAAATACAAGACTAATATAAGGAATTGAATCTATCTATTGATATAACCATAAACTAACCAATATTTATAAATATAGTATTCAGTCTATATCTAAATTGTGATCAGGTTATGATCTGAATTGGATAGGATTATCACTATACAATCATATTATCAGAAATAATAGCAAGAAGAGTAGATCCCTAAACTGGTAGCATGTCTCTCAAGATCAAAACAAGAACACGACTTGTTTAAGAACACAAATGACTTCATACAAAACTTGTGTACAAGAAAAGGACTCTTTCATAATAAGCCAGTCTGATCCTCATGCATGTGGCTATGCTGACTTTTACAGACTTGACTATTGGAAGACCTTGATGGGAGAAGAAATCTGCAAACCACTTCAAAGGATCAAAAATCAGGATCCAGGATACTGAATTCGACAGCTTGATAACTAGAATACTTTTAATAAAAAAATTGTTCTAGGAATAATTAAGATAGAATCATGTGATTTTCTAGCTTTAGTGTTGGACTGGTAGTGGTGGTACATAACATTATTTTAAATATATATATAGCTATTTATATAGATAAGATTTATTATAACATATATGTATAATATTCATTTGTAATAACTAATAGTTTCAATTAATAAAATTACAAATTAAGGCCATGGGCTCAAACTCATCAACAATACAGGCTATTAAAAACTTTGAGGCTAATCTGAAGCCAGAACAGGCTCAAGTCAATCTAAAGAAATACCTAAAGAACAAGTTCGAGGAATTATATATAGAACTAACAAACATCATAACAGAAAAAACTTTAAGAAATAGTTATTTTTCCTTTTTCTTCTTTTCTATCAATATTAGTGCTAGTAGAGTCTTGACATGCTAGCACCCACTAAAATGGACTGCAGCAAGTTACAGGGTTTCTAGTAATAGAATATTGAGTCATAGTATTTTTTTCCTTTTATAAATGTATAGACTCGCAATTAAATTTGTATATATAAACCTATATTAATAAATAAATAAAAACCCAATAGCAGGACTTCGCTAGATATAAAAAAAAAGGAATTTTTTATATATAGTTAAAGAATTAGTAAAAAGATTATTTTTATTTATTAATTATTATTTTATTAATAATAATATATAGTATATAAACTATGCTAATTAATTTTATCATTATTTTCAAAATAATATTTATTTAAAATTTTATATTTTATATTAATAAAGTTAATATTATCCTTAAATATATTTTATAAATATAATTTTTTTTTTTTTTTTCGCTGGCTCAGCCTTGCTTTATTTGAATTTAGTAGAAAGTTATATATATCTATGCTATAACTACATTTGTTTATCAAATAAAGCTCGATAAGGAGAAACCTACCTCGTGGTTTGTTGCCACCCTTTCAAGGGAACTAACCTGCCAAGGCTGGGCTAGCGCTATACAAAATTTCCAATAAATAGTAGGGGTTGTGATCGATCTAATGCTATTATGGATATATTTATTAACTAAACTAGTGAATTGTTCTTTTATGTGTTTTTCTCTTTCTTCTATCCATGGATCTAGTGTGGCAGTACTATATTTGTGTAGCTTTTCCCTGGCTCTTGTGATGCCTTGTTGTTTTTTCCAGTTGTGAAAGTCCTTACATCTATTGTGCCATATTTCTTGTAGATACTTGATGATCTCTTGCGTGAGTTCTTGGAGACATGCTTTTCTTGTGTTTCGATTAGGAATTAATTCATTGATCATCCTAATTGTTTCTTTCAGGATGCCTCCTCGAATAGCAATTTCTAGATATCATTTATAATGTAGAGTGGTATTGATTGAATACTTTAATAAGGTATCTTTGATCTTGTTGTATTCGCTGAATTTTGTAACAGTCTTTTTTATGGTCTCAATGAAAAAGTTGCCTGTTATGTGCTGATGTGTTTGGCAGATAAATGGGTGTGTGTTGGATTCTCTTTGGCCACATTTTATGCATTTGTCATCTTTGTACAGTTTGAGTATTCTGCTGAAAAGTTTAGTTTTCGTGGGTAGTTTTTTATTCTATATTAGTAGTCTGAATCTTCTTTGCTGTTGGTCGGGCCAGCTGGTATAGTGGTTGTTCATCTTGGTTGACTGTAGGTTGTCTATGGTTGATGGCCAGTGAATTTTTTCAATTATAAGGTCTTTGAAGTTGTTTCTGGTACGATTTAGAAGTCTCCACTTTGCTAAGTGTATTGCTTTTGTGATGCATTTAGTCATTGTCTTGATTGGAATGTCCATTGTTTGGTGGTCCCATTGAGGAATAAGAGTCAATTGTGGGTTGGTTATTATGTGTATAGCTATCAGTCTACTGTTTGAAGTCATTTCATATCTGGGATCGATACTTGCCAATTTGTCTGCGTCTTCGTTATACACTATTTCAGAGTGGGCTTTAACCTTTTTTAGCTTCATTTTTATGTTCTTCTTTCCACATATGTCTCTTATTTGTTACAAGAGATTGAAGTTTTTTTGTTTTCTGAGAGCATTGATGGGGTTATATTCAGTGTGTTGTTGATTCCATTTATAGCCACATTGCTATCTGTGTAAATATTTGCATAACTATACTGTGGGAGGATACTTAATGCTATTAGTATGGCCATTATTTCTGCGTGAGTTGAAGATGAGTGTAGTGTTGTCTGTACTTGGAATGTAAGCTCTTTTCCCTCATATGTGATAATTTTGAGGCCTATTCCCATAAGCCATTTTTTGTTATATTCTTTTAGTGATCCTTTTGTTTATATGTCAAAAATCATGTTGTCTTGGATTTTACTGGCTAATTCGGATAGTTCACTTTTGATACTACTATCAGTGTCGAAGAGTTTGTTCAAAAGTTGGTTAATGTCTTGTGATGTTGGTATCAAAATTTCTACCTGGCTATTTACTGAGTCCATATCTCAATTGTTTATTAGATCCAGTGATGTCTCATTGAGTCTGGGATACTCTGCACCTGAGTGTGTTGTTCTCAGTGTTGGAAGTGTCACGTGTGGTTACTCTACTTTTGTGGACTGGGATGCAAATTGAGTTTTGTCAGTTTGCTGAGAAGGTGCAAGGATGGAGGTTTTGGCTATGGGTATTGATGTTACAGCCTGTACATTCTGCTAGAGAAGACTGGTTGTTGATCCTGTTGTAGTGTCTATATTCTGTGACTTGATCAT